AAAAACTGCATTTCTTAAATGCGGTTAATAAGAGAAATTAATTCAATATTATTATTCCAGATATAAAAAACATTGAGTGCATTACTTCAAAAAAAAAAGGGGGGGATATTTTCGGTTGTCATTAAAGTTTATTATTATTGCAGTGTGATAAAAATAATTATGAGATTTCAGTCATTTTTATGGTACCTGGCATTAAATCAATAATTTCGAAATAGGGAAGCAACTGAAAGAAGTAATATTAAATAAATAAAAAGTGAAGAAATTTTTTTTCACACAGCAGACAATTTTTAAAAATCTTGGTGTTACATAAGTACAAAACCACCTATTTCTTTTTTCTAAATTGTTTGAATTCTCAAATAAATTTTTTTTCTTTAAAAATAAAATTAATTATTTCACGGAAAAGAACCTACCTTTATAAGTCGGTTGGAACGTGAAATATGCAAGTTAATTAAACGCTCTAAAACTGATGCTCATAATGGGCACTCTACTTAAGCCAATTTACTCTGAGTTTCTGTGCTCCCCTTTTTTTTATTGTCAATTTTAAAGCATTAGTGGAGATGAAATATCGAAAATCGTGTTATCTTCTAGAAGTTCGTATTTCATCAAAATTCATCCAGCAAATCCTTATTTTTAAGTACATGGACACAATCCATACAATTCAAGCCTCAAAAAAAAAAAAAATAATTCGTAATTATTTTCTTCAATTATGAAATGTGTTGTTAAAAAGAAAGATGAAAAAATACTAAAAAAATTTGCGAAAAGAGCCTAAACCACGCCTCTTGCCGGTCCTCTCTTGATCTACCAATCGAAGTATAAGTTCTAGTTAGGGAGGTCTTTTTTTTGGGGGGGGGGGATAGGAGAGAGCCTCTTTACTTCCTTGAAAAATTTGAGGTTAAATAGCCTTGGGGTCTTCTATTGTGGATGAAAATAGTTTAATTCATTTCATTCTCTCTCTTGAGGATGAGTTGGGATAAAAGATTTTTAGTTCTTTTTTGTTCGAATTTTTTTAGTTTATTTGAAAATCATTATTTGTTAACGATTAATTGATATCCTCAAGCAAAGAAGTCAGTAAAAAGAGTATAAATTTAAGCACTGTATTCGGAAAATAACCTAAATTATGATTTCTAATAAACTCATTTTGACAATAATATCGCGATAGATTCTGATTTTAACGATCTGGAAACGATTGAAACTTCCTCTGACATTGAGTACAGATCCTTTTTAGAGATTTGTGCGCTCTAGATAGTCAGAGATGGATCAAAATTTTACTTGTTAAGATTCTATTGTCACAAACGCGTAAACAAGTTTAAAAAAGGAAATATTAATGGTAAAATTAATTTAAAGCTTACTTTTTTGTAAGGCTTAATTTTCCCTGTACTAGGTTTAAAACTCAAATAGTGATCGCTCGGGATATCCAATTTGAAATACATTGTATATGGATTTTTGTTCAGTATTTCAAATGTAGAACAGCAATTTTCGTTAACTTCGAATACATTGAAACAACAAGGGTTAATTGTAACAGTTATTTCCTTATTCTTCTCAATTTCTTGAAGTTCAGATGTCTTCCGACATTTGCAATTGCAAGACTCTTCGAACTTTTTCATTAGTGTTTAGTTTAACAAAGATATTACGCGGCTTATTTATCGGAAGAAGGTTTAGCTTGGCGTTTTGAAATAAATCCGAAAACACATATTGATAGTTAAGTATTATATGAAGAAACTATGGCAGTGATGTTAACTTTTCCGAATAAACATTTATATAACCCCCTTTTTTTTTAATTGTTTCCTTTTTTAATTTAAACTAAGTTGACCTAATTGTTTGAATAATGACAAACAAAATCCCCGAACAGTAAAACAGTGTTATTGTTAAATATATTCAGAACAATTGTTGTAATACTTTTTTAATATCGTTTAGTTTTATGATATTGATGATAAAAAGAAAGTCGATAAAGAAAGTTAATTAAAGTAATTAAGTAATAAATCTGCATTTTAAATTTATCATTTAATTATTCTTACGAAACGGCAACTACCGAAAGGTTAAAAAATGACAGATCAATTAATAAATCAGTTAAAGGAAGAAAAAAAAAATTACGAATCACAGTATAAAAAAATCAATTAATGAGCAATTGGCTTGCTCCATTATACTTAGGGAACGCGGTATTTTATACACCAAATTTCAAAATTAATTAAAACGTTCCCTAAAAGATGGCGCTATTGACTGATAAAAATTAAAAAACAATTTTTTCACTGTAAAACACCGTTTTGTTTAGTAACTCCGTGCATTCTATGAACCAAATTAAAAGACGCCCTTGAAAATATTTAAATTAAAATGGTGAGAAAAAAGTGTTGCAGAATATATTCATATTCTGCAGACCTTAGCAAGTAATTTCGAAATTTAATGAGAATAAATTATCTGATTTCCTTTGCGTAATTCATCAAACTGTTCGTTCCTTAATCTCTTTCCTTTTTCTTGATTTAAATATCCAGCTCTAATTTTTCAGCATCAGACACGAGGATCTTATTATATTTAAATGTAATTCCTACATACACTGTAAAAATTTTTGAATCAAATTATGGTATTAAGTACCGGCACTTTGTGTGCGTCAACCTTAAAATCGAATTTTGCCGTAAAATATTATACCGTTATTTTTACAGTAATATTTATTTAATTGGGGTGATTCAGGGATTTTAGGGTAATTATTACTGTAAAAATTATGGTATATCAGATATACGGTATAACATGTTGCACAAAGTATCTGGACCATGTGTGCTGTGACTTTTTATTGGAATTTAATCCAGATTTTATTGTAATTTAATGGAGCAGTGGTCGGAAAAACTAAATTTTTTTTGTAGCTTGTAACAATTATTTTACTGAAAATGTAATATTATTAATATTATTTATTATTCTAAACCATTTCTCAACAATTAGATTAGCCTTTTCTGATCAAACAGCTTCTGTCTCTATTTTCTCCGAAAAATAGAATCTCAAAAATAAAAAGAACACTAAAAAGAATACTAGAAAAACATAAAACATTTGTGTTCAAGCACTCCTAAACAATAAGACAGAGTTCCATTAAAATTTCTAATATAATTGCAAGAATAGAAAACGATTTTGATACATTTTACAATTACATATTGCTCGTTTTGCTACTCATGTTTGTTCCTAAAATCAAAATTAAATGAAGTGTCCATTTTTTATTTTTTTACAGTTATATTAAGTGCAAGGTTAAATATGTATTTTTTAAATTTAAGTGCCATGTATACGTTTTATAACGTAATTTGACGCTGATTATGGAGATTTTTTTTGGCAAAACAATTAATGTTACTTACTATATAAAGCAGTTTGTTATAATTAATAGAAATTTTTTGTCATTTTCACCTATTTTTTGCTTTTTTTTCTATTTTAAAAGTCTAAGATCTTCAATAAAAATTATAATGCCCATATAAGAGTTTCTACACATTTGTGAAGTTTCTTATAGCTAAAAACATGATTTAAGTTTGAACGTACCTTTGGCTTAATAGAATATTAATTTTTCAACATCTGACGTTTTTCATCTCCCATGGTTTGAATAAGGCTATTTTTCGAAATAGCTTTCGTCATTTAAGTTTTTAAAAAAGGAGATAGGTTGTTAAAAATTAATACAAATACCCCACAACTAATTAGATTACTATTAATTTCTTCACAAAGTTTTAATTTCATTTCGCGCTCTGTTATTAAATATTAATTTTCTTTTTAACTGTTTCGAAGACTGCAAACTAATAAGTATAAAGAAATATATGGTTTCCGATCTCACCTAAATGTTTTGGATTCACCAATTTTTTTTCTCAATAAATAGGTCAGAACGTTCTCTTTGAAGGTGGCTATATTAATCAGTATTCAATAAAACATTCTTTCTAAATGCAACTTTGTAATAAGTTTAAATGTTTAAGTAATTTTAAGTTTTATATTTATTTAATTCTATGCCTTGCCAAAAAATAAAATATTTGAAATATTATTAAATAAATAAATATTGGAAATATTACTTTAATATATTGGGGAATTATTATTAGAAATATTATTTCCTTTTATTTGATATTATTTTCTTTATAAGTAAAAACGGATAATTTTTCCGGAAATTTTTCTCTGCCTAAATTAATTTGAGTTTTCTTCCATATTTAGTAAAATAAAAAAATAAATAAAACTCATCTTAGTAGCGCTGTGCAAGCGAGAATTTCCAATTTTCGGTGCTGCGTTTTGTTTCGTGTTCACTAAGCTGCGCACCTGAAATTTGAACAGAGTGTAAATGCTCTCTAACCAGTTGTCTGCAAACTCTTTTAATTCTACTCTCTTTTGCTCTTGGAATGTATCTGCAATAAATAGGGAGATGTGTGGGAATAGGGAACATTACGTTGATTTTTTTTCGAATTGGCCGAAATAGTCGCTGGCCCCCACTTCCAAAAAGAATTTCTCAAGATAAAATATTATGTATTCAAGGAGTTCAATTTAAAGTCGAAGATTATTTTATTACTGCAATTTACTTATGTTAATTGGAGTTTTATTAACAGATTTATCATGTAAATTACATTCAGTCCTACTTATTTAGCTACAAACGCAAATAAAGAACTCTCAAATTTCTATCAAAAAAACATAAAATGAAAATAAATTTTTTTTTCAAATTCAGTTCAAGTTTAATCATAAGACTTATTAAAACTTAACCACAAAATAAATATTTTTTATACACTCGGACTGGGCACAATTCATACTCAGGGACTTTTACCGGCTGTGATTATTAGACGTAAAATAGAAAGAAAAAAAATCCAAGAATTCTATGATCCACAAAAAAAAGAAGATATTTCCATAAAATTACACAGGTATTATTTTTAATGCATTACTTTCTTTGTATCTACATTTACGAAAAACAGATAGTAAATTAATTTTAATGCTTAAAAATGTTATTTGAAATTTTATGTAAGTAATTAAAATTACTATTACCAATACTAATTAGAATAAATAGACCATAATTCACCAAGAGTTCTTTATTTAATGTAAAACTGGCATTGCTTTAAAATCTTTTATAATCAATAACAATTATACAATGTTTTTCACGATTCATTTGGAAAATTCTGATTCATTTGATTCACCAATTCAATCATTTCACCAGTTTATTTGAAAAATTCTGCGTCGTTGCTGGACGTTGCTCTACATTTCTTTCGAGTCATGCCCTAGAAAGTAATAAAGAATGTAATTTAAATGGACATCTCTAAACAAATGAAATAAATACATTTTATTCCAATACTAAAATAAATAAAGAAAATAAATAAATAGATAAATAAATAACATTTAAAGATAACAGTTTACAAAACATAAATCAAATTTCTACCAATTAAGGGACACTTGATTCCAATAAAAATGATTCCGAAATTTGTGTTGCCGTCAATTTATAATTTGGTATTACTTGAGAAATTTATACGCTTAAAATAGAATGTGTGTGTTCAAATACGAAATTTTCAACTGACTCACAACAATTTATTGTACATATTTGTACATTGAATTTATTGTACAATTGAATTTATTGTAATTGAATTTATTGTACAATTTATTGTACTTATTGTACATATTTATTGTGCATACAACAGAAAATATATCACCCAATCATTAACTCCCCACTCTATGTACATTTTCTTGCACATCTTTGTAATTTCAAGTTTTTAAGTCTTAAAAATGAGCAGAAGAACGAAATGTAACTTCAAAAAAAAAGTTTGAAAATATGCAAAAAAGGAAACTTAAGATTTCAATAACTTTTGTGCAAATTAGAATTAATATCCTAACTTCATGAATAAGTGCAGTTCTTTGAGGATGTCAAATTTTAAACTCTGTAGTTGAAATTCTGCGGACTGTCGAAGTGTTTCAGGTATTTTTTCTTACAAGTTTAACAGTTAATAATTCTCAAACAAATTACTGAATGCTACATTTTTTATTTTGTTCTTGTTGAAGAACTTTCGGTAAACCTTTGTAATTTCAAATTGTAAAATTGTCTGTAAACCTTAATAATTTCAAATCGTGTTAATATCTCATTACTTACCATTTCTCAAAAGGAGCAGCCCTTTTACTGCCTCCATTCTGCGGTAATCCTCATCCTTCGACATGGCAGCATTTTTTTCATCTTCTTGTCCAGGATCAACTACAGGCTCTTGACTTGCAGAAGGCTTGAAGGCCACTTTATTTGTATCGATTTTATCTGGCTCCTTATTCTCGTCGATATCAATGGGCTCTTTATTTGTATCCACACTACCCTCCCTTACCGTTTTGAGCTTATGGATGTTGCAGACGCGGTCCGAGTCGCCATCTAAAAGAGAAAGTCATAAAACATTTATTTAAAAAATACACTATTAACACCATTAATACTATAACCACAATTTTGTAAGAAATTTTTTAAAAAATCGTGTACTCAGTGGTAGTTTAAATTGTGTTAATATCCCATTACTTACCATTGCTCATGCGGAACGGCTCTTCTACTGCCATCATGCTGTCATCCTCATCCTTCTGCCTGGCACCATATTTTTCATCTTCTTCTCCATCGTCATTATTTGTATCCATCTTATCCATTATTACCATTTTGAGCTCATGGGTGTTGGAGATACAGTCCGAATGCTTAAACCACTGCTCGTCTGCTAAAAGAGAAAGTCATAAAACATTTATTCGAAAAATACACTATTGCCATCAGTGGTAGTTTAAATTGTGTTAATATCTCATTACTTACCATCGCTCATGCGGAGCGGTTCTTCTACTGCCATCATGCCGTCATCCTCATTCTTCTGCTTGGCAGCATTTTCTTCAGCTTCTTGTCCGGAATCAACTACAGGTTCTTGAGTTGTAAAAGGCTTGGTAAGCACTTTATTTACATCTATCTTACCGGGCTCTTTATTCTCATCGTTGATAATGCCCATTTTCTTTGTATTCGTTGTATCCACCTTTACCGCTTTGAGCTTATGAATGCTGCAAATACGGTTCGAATGCCTGAACCGCTGGTCGCAAACTAAAAGAGATAATTATTAATAATAATAATTATTATTAATAATAATAATAAGAGATAATTTTGTGTTTGTGAGTGTCTCTAAGTTTAGAATCATTCGTGCTAGGGTTTTGATACTTGGAAACAGTGCATGAGGGGGGAGGGGCAATTTTAGTCTCTAATCTTAAAAGTGTTTAAAATATTTTAATTAAATTTACTATTTCTTTTCTAGCCACTGATTCTATTGGGAATGGTGAGTAAAAACTTTTTTTTCCTCACATGTTTCGCATTAAATCTGATCGCCCATTGGCAAAATGTGCCTCGTTATGGGTTTGATGGCGTACTTTTCAACTGTGTTCAAGAGTAATAGTAAACAGTGCGCACGCGTCGTCATTGCATGTGTTGCTATGGCGACAGCTGCTGTTTGATAGTTTTTTTAGAATTCTTTTTTTCACTTTTAATTTCGTTATGCATTAAGTTGGTGAGTTTATTTTTGAGATATGGGACCAGAGAGATCCCATAAATACCTCTTGAGCTGTGAATAAAAAAGAATTTTATCATTTGAAAGCTATTTTTGTTTTTATTGTCTTAATTAAGAATCAGAAATTCTAACCTACAGTTCAAACTGGATCGTTTTCAATACTAATTTTAGTGAATATCACAAATAAAGAGGGTCTCAAACTGACTGACCCGGTTCCAAAGATTAAAGTTGAAGTGTGTAATTGTGATCACCGGAAGGCGATCACAATTCTTTTTTCTCCATTTTATTGAAAATTAAACTCTTTTCTTTTTACAGCTCAATTTAATCAAAAACGAGTTTCACTGGAAGCGTATTGTCAGTTAATACAGGGTATTGTCAGGAATAATTAAAACTATCGAGGTAGGTGTTTCGGAATGTCGCTAATAAACTAATATTTTAAAATCAGTTTAAAACCGAAGGTTTATTTCGTTTATAGTTATGCTTTTAAAACGTGCTTTTATGAACTTAAATAATGTCAACTTTATATTCGTGCTGACCACGATTAATAGCACTTCCGATGTTGAATATATTAATCGAGTTGATGCTTTAGGTAAGCTATTACGTTTAAAATAAGTTAAAGTTTAATTAAAGTATTTTGTTATTAAATATTTAGTCAAATATTTTAGTTAATAGTTCAATAGTTAGTTAAATATTTTTTAAATATTTAGTTAGTTAGTATAGTTATTTCGTTAAGTTAAAATTAAGTTAAAGCTTAAAATAATGAGCAGTTTATTTTTATTTTGATGATTTGATTTTTTGAAAGTGTGTTTTGCTTAATCTAATAATGAAGTCACCCTAAAGGCAACAAATAATGAAAGGAAAGCGACATTATTTGAAAAATTAATTGCGTCAGTTTTTCCGGCAGGAAAAACAACAGATGAAAGTATATTATCAGGTTTCGCTGGCGTGCAGTCGATTAAACATTGAAAAAAAGAAATAATGCTTGTTCCGAGAAAAATACTGAAGTCTCAATGCTGTTTTTTTCTAGACCTAAGGTATTTTATAGTTTTTGATTAATTAAACATTACAGCCTGATTTAAGGGAAATTTTTTTATTCAATGGGCCATTATCCTTTTTTTTTAAAAAATAATTCGATATGTAACGAAACATTTATAAATAATACAGAAGCTGTTCGAAAGCTGTACAGAAGCTGTTAAGTAAATGGGATATAAAATGAAAGAGTTTCATCAAATATGCCAAGTCATAAACTAAAAGAGGATTATTTAGTTTCACGCAATTAATTTTAAGAAGTATTTTAAATCTAGTTCATAACACGCAAAAATAAATGCACATATTTTTTTTTTTGTTCTATGATTTTAAATTAACCATTATTTATTCGTATTGAATCTCAGTTCAATAAATTTATTAAAAATAAGTCCTCTTTGACTGCTAATGATTTTAAATTTTTATTAAAAGATAGTAATATCGATGAGAAATCCTTAAAAAACTAAAAGGAATAAAAAAAAATTACTTGCCTATAAGTGAATTCAGAAATATTTAATGATTGTCCCAATGAGGATCATGCGGAAAAATACCTCTTGCGAACTGAAAAAACGTATATTTTCAGTTAAGAGAAGAAAAAAAAACGCAAATGCTGACATTTTGGTTAGATTTGATTCAGTTATTGTAATTAAAAGTGATTAGTTTTGTCACACTTTTTTTAGCTAAAATTATTTTTATGAAACTTTAGTCCCGGTACTGGTTGTGTGGAAAGCGTCCTAACAAGCACAGATATTGCCAATTCTGAAACGAATACTTACCAGGAATACTTAAGAGGATACTTAAAAGAATACTTACCAGGGCATTTGAACGGCTTCTTATTACTATGAATCAAAGAGTGAGTTCTCAACTGTCCACTCTGAGTAAAAGATTTCGTACATTCAGTACACTTGTAGGGTTTCTTTCCTGCAAATGGAACAAATGCGAATTGTAATTAAGCAAGGAAAAATTCAAGTTATTAGTAAAAAAAATTTTTGTAAAATTAATCTGAATTTAAACCGTTACAAGAACCTCATAGTTCATGTCTCCCTAATTGCATGACAATTTAAATTAATGCATATTTAAATAATGAATTCATTTTTAAAGTTAAGTTTTTATTTTCAGGAGTGTGTGTGAGAGAGTTCATCCCAAACAGTAATAGGCCTTATTTCAATTGAAAATGAAAGTTGCCAATTTCTGGCCTCTCTGAATAAGAATTTATTAAGTGGCAGATATATAAAACTTAAACTTGTAAAATTTTGGTCAAATTTGCCATAATTTAAAAAAGCTGCCCAACTCGATGCTCAAATGCTCGTAGCTGGAACGAATTGGTGTCATGTACTTAGTTTTTAATTATTTATAAGTAGTGGCTAGAAAATATTTTTAGAACATATGTACTAAACTAAATCTAAAACATAAATCTTGCTGCCACTAGAGAATCTCTATGAAGAATGTAGACCAAAATAGTACGTCTTTCTTTGGTCGTTATTTATGAAATTAAATGGAAAAAGGAAAGCAGATAGTTTATAACTGGAACCGCAACAAATCTTATAAATATCGGAAGCTTTTAAATTTAAAAAGCAGGTATGTAAAATAGTGCGACTTCTTTTGGTCGTATTAAAGAATTTGAAACTTTTCTAACAGTACTGACTCAACAAGAGTTTACAAATTGTCACTCTCAAGTAAATTTAAAAAAAAAAACTATTTTGAGCATTATGCTGGCAGAAAGAAAGTTGTTCATAGACTTGGATATTATAATGTTCAATTCTTAAGAAATACTAAATAAGGAAAAAATTATATTCAATATGGTTTTTTGACAACTTTGTAAAAAATGTCCTCCCTATAAGTAGAGCTACATCCGTTTGCTCCGCACTTTGATTCTTAAACAATTTTCATCACTATCTATTTATAGTTAAAAAATTAAAATTTGAATCCATTCAGTAAATGTATATAAAAAAACTTTATTTAGTTAATAATTTTTACCCAGATGGATAAAACTATTATCTGTTAAAGAATTATATTATCTGAATACTATACAGAATACTATTATCTGAAAGGACATGTATACACATAAGAAATTAATAGCGATTCTATCGAATAGGAGAAAAACGAACGCCTTCGGATCTTCCTTTTAATAATTTTATTTTGAATTTTCAAAGTACCTTTAAATTTAAAAAATTCATAAAATAGTTAAAATGCATCATAATTTTTTTAAACCCTATTATTTCCGTAAATAATTTTCTCTGATTCGCAACGATGCCTGATTTATGTCCTGATTATGTACGTTTTTTACCCTCTAGAGATTATGCATTGTGGGCAGGGCGAATAAGAGCACGCCGAAAATTATGCCGCCGGTAGCTTAGCCACTGGTACGGTTTCTCAAGAGGGACATCTGTTTTAGAGAGGAGGCGCCAGACAGGTCCTCCAAACAGACTGGTCCTCCAGATTGGTGGTTGGACTTGAACTAGCAACTTCCATGCCATAAAGAAAAGAAAGAAAGAAAAAAGACACTGTTATAAAACCTACAAATGAAGTTAAACGGACAGTCTCTGCTGCAAATTGGATTGGAATGGAAAAGATATTGAATACGGCAACATGGAATGTGAGAACTATAAAAAAATATGGAAAAGCGAGATAAATAGTGGATGAAATGTTAAATACATAGAAACTATGAATATCACATTGAAAAAATTTCCCTGCAAGATGTTTGATGGAATGCATTATGCCTGATAGGAAACCACATACAATTAGGAAAAGGAATTATGATATAGAAGAAGATAAAAAAAGAAGAGTTTATTCGAATATACAGCTACAGATGAATGAATATGCAAACTAAGATTAGAAGGGAGGTTTAGAAACGTTATTACTACATCTGGCACCAGCTGAAAACAAAGACGAAAATAAGATGGAAAAGTAGAAAATGCATTTATTGAAGCACCGAAATATGAATTTAAAATAATTATGGTTGACTTTAATGTAAAAATTACAAAAAGAAAATTATTTTAGAGAAACTGTTGGAACTTCTCCAATACATGAAAGAATATGCGAAAAATGACAGTTTGCTGATAGAAATAAAATACATATTAAAAGTATGTACAATGCTTCCACATAAAAATATGCCTTCGGGAACAAATGTAAAACAAATGTAAATTTCAGAAAAAAAGAACTGGTTGAACAAATAATACTGGGTTAAAAGAGCGAATTCTGGAAATTCATTCATTACAAATGAAACAAATCAAATTGGACATATTTTTACAATAATTAGATATTCTTCATTATTAATGTAAAAATTAGTTATTATCAAGCCAGGTGTGGGTCAAATGGTGACTCTTATCACTATTTGGTTAATGTTAAAATACGGGAACGGTTAGCTAATGCTATAAACGTGTTCACTAAACAAAAATAAATAAATAAATAAATAAATAAATAAAAAATTTTAAAAAATGTCAAATAAAAATAAAAATGGAGTACTGAGAAAAATTCGATTTCCAGGCAAAGAACTTTGTATTTCAGATTGAAATACAAAGAAAATTTGAACAAGGCAGTTTTGTAGAAGAACAAATGGAAATCAATGAATTGAAACACTCCTTATAGAAGCTGTTGAGAAGAAAGTAGATGAAAAAAAAAAAGATATAAATAATGGTTTGATGGAGAATGTAGGAATTTTATTAAAGTCCAAAATGAAGCTAGAAAAGTTATGATACAAAAGATAGACAAGGAATTTATAAGGACATGCGCTGAATTGCAAATAAAATTTTCAGAGAAAAAGGACTGGTTAAAAGAACAAATATTAGAAATTGGACAAATATTAGAGAAAATGAAGGAACAAATATTAGAACAAAAGAAAAAACAAATATTAGAAAAATATTACTAAGGCAAAATGTAAGGAGACAATACAAAGCTCTGAGTATCAAGACAGAACTTTTAAGCTGAAAACTAATGGATGTGAGAGTCAAGAGTTTAGATTAAATGGAGAAGAAAAATTGCCAATAGAAAGGTTGTCGGCATATTCTTAAAATAAAAAAATTGAAAATGAGAGTGGAGATTTAAATGTAGAGATAAATAATAAGAAAGAAACTGCCGAAGAACATTTTACACCAACGAGAGAAGAAATGGAGTTTTGTATGAAAAAAAATAACAATAAAGATAATATTACTGAATTAGTAAAATATGTACAGTATTCAGAATTTCAGGGAGAGGTAGTAATTACGAAACAGTTTTTTCCAAATAAATGAAAACCTATTTTATTTTTTAATTTGACTATCCATATTTAGTAAAAGTAAGTTAATACATTGTTAACAAATCAAAAAATTTGTACTTGCTAATAATTTCTTAGATGAAAAGAAAATTCTGGGTACAATAACTATATTCAATCAATCAAATTTTTAAAGTGAAATTAAACTTATTGGAACATATAGAAATGGTAAGGGATTAAATTCTACTGTTCTGTCGATGTTTTGTAGCCTGGTAGTTATATTTCATTCAACTAGTGCCATCTATAATGTTTTATTGGCACTTTTCTTAATAGTGACTGTAAATACACAAAAATGAGGAACACGAACAATGTGATGTGCAAAACAAAGTATACAAATTATTCTAAGAATATTGATTATAATTATTCAAATAAACAGTCATACTATATCAAAAAACTTTTATGAAGTTATCTCTGTAATACTTTCATAATATAGTCAACTGCTTATATTATTGCATTTTATTGAAAAATCGGGATAGTACTTGACATTTTACCTATATGTTTCTTTCTCTTTGTTCTGAAAATATAATTTAAACACAAAATATGTCTGCATATTCCTTGTGAGTATTTTAAACAAAACATACCTTTAAATAATAAAAATAAATATTTTAATGAGAAATATTGCCAAACGCAAAAGTTAACGAATTTATCCAATCATAAAATAACAATAAAAATAATGCACAATCAAGGTTAGCTAGCACTAAAAATTGCTATCAAAATCATATCTCATGCAACCATTTTTAAAGCAATACATTTTGTGATGCCGAAAATTTGAATCATTACTGTGTGACTTGCTGCAATAAAAAGACCACGGAAAGGTAACCCTTAAATATTTATACTAGTTTGAATTCTCAAACGTACGATTCCGAATACGTTGATAGTAACAATAGGGGAGAGTGGGGTCAATTGTAACAGGGTACAATTGTAACAGAGCAAAAATTTCGAGTGTCGGGTTCTAGATGTGGTTCCTAGGTGGCGCACAAGGTGTATTTAATAAATCTACATGTACACCCCTGATGGCAACCATTTTTATGTACTTTTGAAAGAGTTACATCACAAAAGATATTTTCACGCCACGCAAGTACTTTTTTTGGTATTAGAATATTATATTGTAACAAAGTAATTTTGTTTAAACAAATAAAAATTAGTAACCGAATATGTAAGTGGACACTTTAATTAACATTTCAAAAAAAAAAAGATTAGTTTTGCTAATTAACTAGCATTGTTTTTAACAAATGAAGCTGAAATGGCGTCTTGGGGACAATTGTAACAATAAGTAAAGGGACGATTGTAACAGCTGAAAATAAATAATCTTATGTTTACAAACCATTACTTAACTCTTTAAGAACCACCAATAGTTTCCTATATCATTTATATTATGTTGCATGTGCATTATTTTATTTGTCACCTTTCACAGCATAAATTAAAATTTTTAACCCCTTAAAGTTAAAAGTTTAACCCTTTAGGTCTCTGCTCATTATTATTTTTACTCCTAAAATATCACTACTATTTTGATCAATAAAAAAATATATCACAACTATGATAATATGTATAATTAACTATGTTTTAGTTGAATTTATGAACTGTTACAATTGACCCCGTTAGTGGGGACAATTGTAACAAGTGCACGACTGTCAAAAATTGTTGATAACTGATATAATAACATTTAAAATAAGGTATTTATTTTTTTTTCTAGTAGAAGATAGTCTACTTTACTCGTCTGTCAATTAATACTAATAATATGTTGATATGATAATATGATGATTTTTTGTTAGTTAAAAATAGTTAAGTAAAAAATGTTACAATTGACCCCACTCTCCCCTATAGTATTTAAAATATCGAGATTTTAAAAACAATGCGCAAATTGGTGGGCCGAAGCCCAGAAGTAAGACAATTCACTGTAATGACTGCCGAGAGATCGTATAGAAAAGGAAGTGAAATATCGTCATATTAAAAAAAAATCAGAATTTAGACGACTATATATAACTGCCATATAAACAAAATATAGCTAAAATAACAGTCGAAGAAAAACGACCAGAAAACAACGGAATAGCTGTGAATCCTGCACATCAAAAAGTAATTGCTTGGCTGACATAATGTTATCGTATTAAAAATACTGAATTTTATTTTAATTTTATAACCGTCGTTGAACAGCAGACCCAATTCTATGGGTTTACGACTGCTAATGTTCAACTCCGTATCCTTGTAATTTTGAACCCAATCCAGAGGACAAGGGAACTCCTGGTTCGAGTATTGGGAGAAATTTGGCTTATTGGAGGACTTTTTGATGGAGCTAACCCACATTTGCGTTACATGGAGAGGAGGACCACGAAAACCTCCCACTGTTAGCCTGACGGCAAGGGGACTCTAACCAATGATCCGTCAACCACTGAGGATATTTCACGTCAGCACTGTGGTCGGTGCAAGCCAGATGCGGAATTCGTATCGACTGATTTTCGAACCCGGTACGCCACATTGGAAGGCGAACGCTCTATCCCCTTAACCATCACGGCTCCAAAATGCTGAATTTGAAAAATCCTATAGAGACCTCCGAAAAACAGATAAATAACTATCATTTTTTTTAACTAGAAATTTGCAAGTTGACGAAATCTCGCCCTGTGCATAGATGTATGCATACACACAAATGTTTTTAAAAACCCTTAAGTCTTCAAATAAAATTGACTCTCTAAGCTCTGTATGCTGTTTTGATTTCGAAAACCTATATACCTCCCTTTCAATTGATAAACTTCTTCATGACTTACTAAACTTCTCAATTTATATAAATTAATATTCATGATATAATTGATAAAAAAAACAGCTGAAAATTCCTTCTTTGTACATGCTAATCTAAACAACAATTATATTCTATTTAATGATTGTCTCTTTCAACAAATTGACGGTATCCTTATGGGCAATAATTTTCATGCTAATATTTGCAATATTTTTCCTTTTCTCCAAGAATAAATAGATTTGTTTCATAATTTGGTAGTCTTAATCTTCCCACAAATTCCTTCTTTTTCAGAGCAATTGATACCTTCTAGTTATTAATTTTGATGATTTTGAGATTACAACTAATTAAAGTGAATTAATTCTTAACAAAATAAAATTAATGAAAATAGACTAATTTCTTTAAATTTTTCAGCAAAAATGATTAGTACTTTCCACTTCTAATTTTTTATTAGTTCTTTCCACTAAAACAGATCTAATAAGTAATAATTTTCCTTAACTATAATTTTAATTTTATTTTAGAAAAATTACAAACACTAAAGTGTTCGTCCAATGACATTAATTTATTTTATTTCTGATCATAGTATTAGCTCTGATTTATCTTTTTAGTTAAAAACTAATTGTGACAAGCTATTCCTAATGCCATTGTTCGGAATGGTTTAGAAATACAACCTTTCATACTGAATAAATTAATTTAATAATTAAATTATTAATTTAATAATTAAATTATTAATTTAATAATTAAATTATTAATTTAATAATTAAATTATTAATTTAATAATTAAATTATTAATTTAATAATTAAATTATTAATTTAAT